AAAGCACTACTGTAATCTTACATTGCTTCTGATGTTTGAGCATATTATAAATTTAACCCCTTAAGGACACATGACATGTGTGACATGTCATGATTCCCTTTTATTCCAGAAGTTTGGTCCTTAAGGGGTTAAACCCTGCACTACCTAGTGTTTTGTTATGCATGACGTAACATTTTTGATTGTAGATTGCTATTATAAAAATTAAAGCATAGAAACTTGCCTAATTGAAATGCTCTATTGCGTTGTTGCAGGAAGTGTGAGGATTTTAGAGGTTATATGGCCTTATGTTGCAATACTTCAGATTCTGAAATATTTGCATAGAATAACAAATACTGTATAGCCATATATAGTAGCCATGACAAAATAACAAATTGACAAATTCTCTGTTTTAGCCTTGGAGATTCTTTCTTCAATTTGTGATGATCAGCTGATTCCTGAACTCTGAAACACATTTTACACAAAGCAGATGTCAACCGAAATGCCAATGGCTGAGCATGTTCATTTTGATAAGTGATTCTAAATTCCCTCGTGGTGCCAAAAAAAGAGGCAATTGAAGAGAAAAAAAGTTGTGATGGCAAGTCACTAAATGAGTAAGGGGAGGAGAAGCTGTAAAAAAATAAAATCTATCAATACATACTATATAAATAATACGAGAAATTTGTTTTATAGAGAAATGTGTTGACTCTTCTTGTCTTTTCCACTATTGGTTACTTTTTCTCAAACGATTTGTGAACCAAATAGTGGGAAAATGCTCCTAACAGTGTACTGCAAAATATATCAATACTATTATACTACAATATATTTTTAAGTGCAATGATTGGTCCATTTTCGTGCACTTTTGATTTGTCCAATTTGTTTCTCGATTCAGTTTTATTGGTATCAAAATCCTGGCAAGCAAAACCAATATACGCCTGAAAGTCGGGCATCCGGAAAAAGTTCACTTTTTGGGTAAAATGGGTTTGCCAAGCTAAATTTTCTACTCTATTTATGGATTTTTGTAAGAGACTGCATGCAATGCAAATTCCCCCCACAAAAGCACTAGAATATTAAAAGAATATGTAAGTACATATACATTAAAGAAACACTCCAAATACCTAAAGCAATTTGGCTTGCTAAAGTGCTTTATATGTGAAGAGTATGTCTTCCTTTTTTTAATTTAATAAAAAGTGCAGAGTTCAATAGAATTGGTACTTTTGTAAATTAACCTTGCTACAGCCACCTGTCAATCAGTCAACTGGTCCTCTTATTTCCTGGTTGTTTAGCTCATAGGGGATAAACTCAAGAGACAGACAACTGCCCAGAGAGTGGTGGAACTAACGTAGATAGGGCCCTATGCAAGTATATTTTTGACCCCCCCATTCCCCCAATTGCAAGTGTGACTAGAAGGTAGATCCCCATCTGTTGTACAACTCCCACAATACTTTGCCTCCTGAGGTTCTACCTTTTGCCCATCCTTGCAGGTTAGTTTTTAGCACCGAGCAGTGTTTGCGTGTTTGAATGTAAACATGTTTTTGAATATGAGTGAGTGAATGAAGGGGTGTGTTTGTATGTAGTGTTGACTTTTAAATATAGGCATGCATTTGTGTGTAGTGGGATTTTTAAATGCAGTGGTATGATTTTATATAATGTTGGTGTTTAAATACAGAGGTGTATTTGTATGTAGTGTTGACATTTGAATGAAGAGATGTATTTGTGTGCATTGTTGGTGATACACACACTGACACTCATACAGATACACACATGCAGATATGAAGACACACAAATATACACCGACAGACAGATACACAGAGACACATGCACACACAATGACACACATGCATAAACACAGACACACAGGTACACACATACAGCTACGCAGAGACACAAACACTGACACACATACAGATGCAAAGACATGCAGCTACAAACACTGAAAAACATAGAGATACACAGATAGACATACAGATACACACACATACACACAGACATGCATTCAGATACATAGACTGACACACAATAGCACACATATCACCCTCCTATTTCCTACCTTTTGGATGCAGGACAGTGGCTTCTGCTGTGGCGGTTGTAATGGATCGCCTGGCACCTCTGGGTACCTCCGTTGACGGATGCTCCTAGTACTTTCCGCGGTCTCCAAGCACTCCACTAGACACCATAACCACCGCAGAACCCATGAACCGCTACAGCTTGGTTGGGTTCTCGCCGTCTTCCCAAGACCAGGATCCAGCTTCCAGTAAGTAGACCTCTCTTAAGCCAGAGAGCAGGAACAGGAACAAGCTCTTACAAGAGCTTAGTGGTTATACTCTAGGGAGTATAGTGATTATAACAATCCCCATAGTGTAGGTAGTTCTCCAATCCCCCAAACATGAGCCGAAACTTCATGAAGGGTAGAACAAGTCTGAAACTTTATTGGTACAGGTTGGCTTATATACAATTCCTCAGGCCAGAGGCACACCCCCTGGACCTGTTTGAACACCGCATTACAAACTCTACAGACCAGTAAGAACAGTATAACAATGTCCGACACTCCCACATACATTAAACAATCCCTCCCCTCTGCCTGTGATATAATTAAGGTAGTTAAGGCATAAACCTAATTATCCACAGGCAGAAGAAAACACACATTTATACAAAGTCTAGAAAACACCCCAAAACATAACATAAATCTTACGTGCCCTGATAGCTCTGGGTGAACATATCCAAAAATCACCCAGATCAGAGTTTCAGAAATTTTATGGACGTTATATTTTTGCTCATGCGAACCCAGGATTTCATGCCCAAAACAGATCCATAGATTTACTGCTAAGTGCCGCTGGTAGACCAACCGGGAACCGCGAGGTTTTCATGCCGAAAATAGTTCCAGGGCATTTGCAGCTAAGTCCCCCTGAAGTCTATTCGCGGTTTTAGTCCATGTGAACAAGATGGCTGCCACCACGTGTTCGAATGTCGAATGGCGGCCACTTAGACTGTTCAGGAGTTCGAAGAACCAATGTTTACAGTGCCAATAGGCACAATTGGGGTGTGCGGTGATTCTCCAAACTACTGTACAATAAGGGAGTTGGGCAACCTCTTTAACAAACCTCCTGTCCTATGTAGAAGGACCTTATCAATACCCAGCAAAGGAATGGGTTTACTTGCCATATGAAAACTGACATTGGAGTAGAGAGAAAGATAATCAGAGAAATTGTCACTTGCCAGTAATTATGGTAGGTATTTTCATCAACATGGCCTTCAAAAATATACATTAAATATTATATTTAAAATCATACATAAAATTAAATGAGTTGTGTCCTGGAGCTTTAGATTGTTAATTTTTTGTGGTTTAGTTACTTTGTGCACTGTCAAGACATTTTTTATTTATTAGGAAAGTAAAAGCATCAAACATGCTACTATTCTCCATTAAATATACACTTTGTATGAATTAATTGGTTAATTAACATATGCTGTATTATGTTTTCGGTGTTTAAGTCAGCACAAAATCACACCAAGATTAAGTACATATTTTCTCGATTTGAATCAACAGATGTTAAATGTATCTATAATGATTATTAATATAATGCTAATTTGATTACTTTGCATAATTAAACCTAATTAGATACGGTCTATTTCATACTTTATAGTTGAGTATTTGAGAACAATATGTTGACAAATCATAAAGAATATACATTTTATCACTGTCCAATTAGATTCACAGATGACATGCTCAATGCCTCCACAAAAGAACTTGATTCATTAATGGAAGAGGTTAATATTTTAAGGCTAAATAAATGTAAAGACATACAATTATTATTTGAATATTAAGATCATGTACTTCACTGCCTGAAGTACTTAGCTTACAATACAATATCTTTAGCAGTGTTCAGTATTGCATAAAGTATGGAAACTATATTTTTGTCAGTGGTGGAACAACTAGGATTGCAGTGGTCGCTATTGCAACCGGACTCTTGTCTTCCACCTAGGGAAACTCATACTAATTGAGTACTCCCTTGCAAAATCATTATTACATTTTTTTCCAAGTTTTCAAAATTGGAAAGTGCTTCAAACTTTTTTTTTTTTTTTTTTTGCTTTCTTTTGGATCAACAGCAAAAACAGATATGAGAAAGGCTGAACTTGATAAATGCACATCTCTTTTCAGTCTATATAACTATGTAACTATGTAACCATGTTCCCTTACAAAAAGAATGCCTGCATAATGTGTATTATTATATAAATCCTTTAAGTCATAAAACGAATAGTTCAAGTAGAAAGTGCACACAATTATTAAAAACATAAATCTAAATTTGAATTAGTATTATTTAATACTTTGGTATATGCAATGAACAAAAACAAATACCAGTAGGAAATACCAATGTAGGTGAATCTAAAAACAGCAAGGGATAGCTGAACAAACATTCAGCCAGCAGCACAAAAAATTGTGTGTAGTTTTACACGTAATGGTATGTTGTATAGTATACCTTCTGTTCGTTTGCGGGTGAGTAAAGCTTTTCAGTGGTGTCATATGCTCACACGTTACACATTCCAAACAGCGTACAGACCCCCGGTGCTGGATAACACTTTCATTTGCATAGGTTTTGAATGGGTCTGTGTGCACCAATATGTCCTTCAAATTTTTATTTCTCTTATGGCATATCAGTGGAGTCTCACAAAAGACTTTTGGGAGCGTATCTTCTGTGGCTAATATTCTCAAATTTTTCCGAATCACTGTAGAAATCTGTAAAGTCGAGTTATGAAATGTCATAGGAAAGACTAGACTTTGTGGCGCAGGTACCTCTCTCTTTGCTCGAGTTGCCTTGGCATCTTCTAGAGCTTTACTGAGGGTTTGACTATGGTATCCCCGATTCAAAAATGTACTTGTCATTTTCTGTAGTTGCATTTCCTTTACCGTATCACTAGAGTCATTCCTTATTACTCTAAGGTATTGTGTTTTTGGTAGAGACTTCTTCAAGGCTTCTGGATACGCACTTTGTGCATGTTTTTCCCAATTGATAATTTCACAAACCTGGTTATTGGACTTTATCGGAGCTGATGTTTGCCGTTAGTCTAATCGGCGTTGGCAACTGATTCAATTCTTCAACCATAGTCCAAATGATTAACAAGTCGTCAATGAAACGATAATAACCCTGTATCAAATGAGCATATGGGATCAGGATATTGTTCTTCTCATAGATATACAGGTACGTGTTAGCAAACATGGGGGCCATCGCTGCCCCCATAGAAGTACCTGATACTTGTAAAAACCATTCCTGCTCGAAACGAAAGTAGTTGTACTCCAAAGCAAGTGTCAAAATTTCCAACATGAACTCTACGGGAGGGCCTTTGTAGACTGTTGAATGTTGAGTTAGTACTGTTCTCATGGCTTCCACCCCTTCATCATGCGGGATAACTGTATATAAACGCTTTACATCCATAGAAATCAAGATAGGTTTATTTTCTTGGAACTTGACTTCAGTTATTTTCTGCAAAAGTGTTGGTGTATCTTTTATGCATGTTTCCAAGGCTTCAATTGGTCTCTTAAAAAGTGAATCTAGCCACTTCGCCAGTGGTTCAAGTACCCCCAGATAACCATCTATAGACTCTATGGTCTAGATAGTCTTGTTGTACCTTCTTGAATTTCTGTTTTTTAAACTTAATCAACTAATTTTTATATTTGAGGAGGTATTCTTTTAATTTCTGTTGCAGGTTTAATCCTTCTGTAGACGCAAGTAACATGGCGTGCTCTGTTTCTACCTCCAGGATTTTTTGATTGACGTCTGTTAAATCGTCTTCACGTCTTTAATGATAATCAGCATCATTTCCAGTGATGCTCTGTTTAGAACCATAGTCCATTCCTTGCATACCTTTGCTTTACCTCTACCAATAGTAGGGATATTCAATATCTTGAACCCTCTAGGGATTCTCTTTGCCTTATAGTAATCAGAGAGGAAAAGGCCATGGAGATCCAGGTCAATACTTTTTCTGTGCAACTTAGACAACTTAAAATAAACATCTTTGCAGTAATATTGTAAGGTAACTCAAATCCAGTCTGCTCCCATAATATATTCTTTGCCTTCTCCTGGGAAAACTGTATAGTCTCTCCCTGTTCTGGAAAAGTTTCAGCTTCGAGTAAAGATTCATCCATATTCAATAGTTTAGTGAATAAGCCAATCTTGCAATGTATTTATTGCTTTAAATGTGCCAGGGTTTACACAATAATTATTTCAATTGTAGAAAAAAATGCTGGTGCATAGAGAGGAGCAAAAGCCCAAATAGCCCCCACAATATAAAGAAAAAGAAAAAATTACTTGCACTCACGCTGAAAGTTGTCCCTTGTATAGCGGGTGCTAAAGCCAGGGCTTGTATCCAAAGAGGTAGCAGCACTCACGGAGTTTAAAAATTCTATTCTTTATTTGGTCATTTAAAAATTGTGATCAACGTTTCAGTCCTCTAAACGGGACATTCCCCAGGATCAATACAATAACTTTCTGCACAAGAACTGAAACGTTGACACTTTGTGGCAGTTGCTGAATAAAGCTAAGTTACTTTTTTCACTATACCTATGAAGTCCCTGGAGTGCTACTTTCTACTGTTTTGTTCTATTAGTATTGCGACCAAGCACCGGGCTTAACTTTATTGATACTGGAGTGCAAGCAATTGGATATTTATATATATATATATATATATATATATATATATGTATATATATATGTGAAAATCTAAAGCTAAAACTAAATGCATTATAAGGGAAAAAAGAAAAATAAATAAAAAATAAATTATAAAAAATGTAAAGCTTTACTTACCTTTTATTATTCTCAGCAATGAGACACAATTTTTGCAGCAGCCCGATCTATCCACTTTTGCATAAATAATAATAATAATAATAATAATAAAATATAGAAAAAATAGATTTAAAAAAAGTTATAATGTAACGCATCCCAAAACATTGGATAGGAGAAGGAAGAGAAAAGAAATAGAAAATGGGAAATCAAAAAGATATGAAGAAATCTGAAAAAGAAGGGGAGAATATTAAGGCCTATATAAAAAGAAAATATAATCCTCCTGACCATGTCCCATACCATGGAACAATGTCTATTTTAGAGGAAATGTACCAATTTAAAATCCTTGTTAATACTCCTACAGAAAAGTAGTCTTGTGTCGACATGTAAAACTGATCAGATGTCCTCAATGTAAAGAAGAGCTGAGCTCCAGCTTTGATTGGTCAAAAAAGTCAGAAAGTTTATGCAAAAGTGGATAGATCGGGCTGCTGCAAAAATTGTGTCTCATTGCTGAGAATAATAAAAGGTAAGTAAAGCTTTACATTTTTAAAAGGAAATGGACAGAAGTCACAATGATGGAAGGGAATTTATTCAATAAAAAAGAGGTATATTTTCCCTTTAATCTTATTCATACACAACACCCATATACAATCACACTCAGCAAAACCCACAAATAATGATACTCAGCCATCTCCACACACAATTACATTTATACAACTCCACGAATATTAACACTCGGTCAGCTCTAACATCATCACATTCAACCAAGACCACACACAATCAGCCAACTCCATGCATAATCACACTCAACCAATGCACACAAAATTATACTCAGCTAGCTCCACGTACAATTAAATTTAGATAACTCCACACATAATCACACTCTGCTAGCACTCACACACAATCACATTCAGCCAGTAATGTAATGCTTAGGGTTAAAAGGTGAGGGATGCCTTTTTTATAATTTGGCACTGGAGTCTCTAATTACGCTCCTGACAGAAAGAGCATTTTCTCATGAATACTGAGCAGTTAGCTCCTCTAAATGTGAGGCTCTACATATATCCCCAGAAATAACAAAAATGTTCTTTATATATTTCTATTCAAATGACAGTATTTGCAAACTAAGTACATGGATATCATCCTTTCTGCTTCAGAATGTATAATAGCTCAAATAAGCAATGTTGTCCTTTACAATTAAACTCTAGGTAGACCTCCACAAATGACACTCACATCTCATTGATGTGAATGGTATTTGCAGTCACATTTCCAAAAATAAATAATATATCAATGCAGTAGTAAGATCAAACAGTGTCAGTAACTCCTAAATGATTAAAGTACGTTGTCTGAGATTTAAAAAAAACCTGTCCTAAATTGTCACTATAAATGACTTTTTTTTAAAAAACAGCTCATCCAGAATACTGTGCAGTATATTCAAATAAGCTTAGACACCACAGTATTCTTTTCAGGTTTCCAGCTTTCATTTCATTGGGCTTCCTTTGCTGTGGCCTGATGCTTTATAGCACCAAGTTTTATTTTAATACATGTGTTAATATTTAAGTGAACCAATATCTGATGCAAAGCAGTGATTCATGCATGATTAAGACCTGAATTAATTTCAGTGTAATATTTACATCAGATATGGCATATCAGAGGCTTCCATGAAATTTGGTATTCCATGTTTACAAAGAGAAATTGGATTGTCTCCTAATAAAAGTGTTTAAGTCCCTTTAACAATTTTCCTTTATTAAGACAGACATGGGATTTTAATTATCTTCACACAAATATCCCTATGTGTGGGCACACATCGATCTCTCATTCTTTTGTAGGAGCTCAGTATTCTTGGTGTTTGACTTTATACCAGAGTTTCATTGCAATAATATGTACAGTAATATGTCTTTAAAACACAATAAGAATATTTGAAGTCACAAAAATTATTACTTCATAAGTCATGTAAAATTTCCAGAACAGCCTCACCCTTGGCCACACACACACTCTTACACCCCCTCTCATATCCCTCACACCCTTAAAATGAAATTGTCCTCCTTCGTATATTTGAAATGTTAGGAGGCACCAATTTAGTATTGAATTGCAGATGAACTAATATTTTGGATGAAAAATATTCAGCCCCTGACAATTTTTTATAGTCTTTGCCTAGTGAGCTACAAATATAGGGTTCCATAAAACTCAAGGAATCTTCCAGACCAGGAGAGAATCCCACACTTGCTGTCACTTCTCATTCATGGTGCAGCAAGTAAAATGATAAAGTACAGAGCCAAAGGGGCCTAGCTTCCTTGGCACTATGCCATCCTGCAAGGTTAAGTGCCATTTCGGTAGCCATATGCCTCTTAGCTAAAATCTTCAACCCCTTTCTGCATTGAAAAATGTATTTTTTGTCCTAACCTCCAAATTAATAGAAGGGGTTGGGGTATGGAGGCAAACATTTAAATATCTAAGTAATTTTAAAAGAGATAATTAATTCAATTCTAGGTAATTCTGTTTAGGTTGTAAAATTAAAAAATTAAGCCCAAAGCTAAGCTCATTAGCAACAACTGCAGCATCTGTCTCTTGAACCCTCAGACTCATCTACAGCTAACACCAACATAAACACACTTTTTCCAAACTCTGCTCCTTAGAAAACATAAAATGCCACACTCAGTGGGCAACTTTAACTCACATGCAAATATTTATAACTTGCGACTCACCCTCAAATATACTCTTATTGACAGTCAAAGTTTCATCGTGTCAGCAGGGCCGCCATCAGTGGGTGACAACTATAACTGCTTTGGCAGTCCAAGGCCCCACAATTACTCTCTGCACATATATAAATAGCGATGATCGCTATTTATATGTGCAGTGCAGGTGCAGCCGCGGGCCCCCGGCTCCCTGTACTTGCAGAGGGGGCACAGCGGACTGCAAGTGTACTTACAAGCTGTTCCCTCTCTGTAACTCCCGCGAGACCCGCTGCCGTCAGAGCGTTGCCACATGTTACCATGGCAATGCTCCGCGCGGCACGCACACCGCGCTTGCCGGAGTTACAGAGAGGAAAGAGCTTGTAAGTACACTTGCAGTCCGCTGGACCCCCTCTGCAAGTACAGGGAGCCGGGGAGCCCACAATGCCACCGGACCACCAGGGATCATGGAATCTCCCCCTCTCCCTGAACCAGGTAAGAACCAGGGAGGGGGGGGGAATAACCTTTTTCACTTTTAAAGTGAGGGCGGGAGAGGGGAGGAATGCTCCATTTACACTACATGCATAGACTACACTAACACACACACACTCTGCATACACTACACTAACACACACACACTCTGCATACACTACACTAACATACACATACTCTGCATACACTACACTAACACACACACACTCTGCATACACTACACTAACACACACACTGTGCATTCATCACACTAACACACACTCTGCAAACACTACACTAACACACACA